GAGTTGACGTAGATATTATACACAGGTAAGTTGGGGAACTAGGGATCAAGCCCTGGGATCTGCCTCAGCTACCACGAATTGGTGAATACCGTTTCAATGGTGACTCTCCTTTCTCCACTCGCCGACGTGTCTGCCATCATCCATCCCCTCCACCTCCTACAATCATCCGACTCCCTCCACGCCAAACCCAACTTCCTCCATGCACTCCACCTCCCTTCTTTATCTTTCTCCTCAATCTTCCACCTTCGCCCTCCTCCCTTTGCCATCTTCCATCTCCTCCCTCCTCCCTGCTCCCTTCACCATCTTCCACCTCCTCCCTCATCTCTCCGCCATGCTCCGTCCACCATCTACCACCTCCTCCCTCCTTTCTCCGCTATCTCCTTCCCTCTCCATCGTCTCTCTGCCTCACTCCACATCATCCCAACTTCCTCCATCCCCTCTACCTCCCACCATCATCCTCATCCCCTCCACCTCCCGCAATCATCTTTCCCCACAACTTCCACATCCTCCCTCCTCCCTCCTCCCTCTCCCTCCACCATCTCCCATGTCCTCCCTCCTTCCTCCACCATCTCCCATGTCTTCCCTTCTCCTTCCACTATCCTCCGCAATCATTTTCCTCCATCCGCTCCACCTCCCACCATATCTTTCTCCACAACTTCCACCTCCTCCCTCCTCCCTCAGCTATCTACCATGTGCTCCCTCCTCCCTCTGCCATCTCCCATGTCCTCCATTCTCCCTCCACCATCCTTCCAATCTTCCCCATCTTGCACATCATCATTCTCCCCAATCTTCCTCCGCCTTCCTCCTCCCTCTGCCATTTTTCAAATGCTCCCTCCTCCCTCCGCTGTTTTCAACAGCCATCTTTCATCTCCTGCCTTCTCCATCCGCCATTATCAGCCGCCATCTTTCATCTCCTCCCTCATCCCTCCTCCATGTTTTCATCTCCTCCTTCCTCCCTCCTGATTTTTTCTTTTATTCTCCGTTTTCTTTTTCCTTTCATCCTTGCACAGCGCCATGCTATCGTTCAAATTTAAACGGATGTCCCAAAGGACAATTTAATAAAACTTCGAACTGCATATCGGTGCATCTGCTGTGGCCCCAACAAAAAACAATTTGTGGCGCACTGCTGGCACACGTGTGCCACCCCTGCGCACAACTGAGCACCAGCGCAGAGAGTATCGGGCACCAGTGCACCGCACAGCACACATCACACATCACACTTGTTGCGCTGTGGAGTGCACACACTCGGGAGTCGTGCACAGCGCATAGCACCCCGCATTCCTTGTGCACCGCACCTCTGCGCCGCAGGTATGATTTGAACTCTTGACCATAATCAACAAACCTAGGTGGGTAGCATTCAACCCAAACAGACAGCTGTCACTAACCACAACTTGGCCTTTCAAAGGGGGTGGATGGGTCAGATTCCATGAAAATAAGTAAAAATTTAAAAAATAAATAAATGGAACCTTCAATCAAACACGAGGAGGATTATGGCAATAGGATTCTGTTTCAAAAATACCGCAGAAAGTCAGTGAGGGCATCCAGAAAAGAATAACAATCTCAAGAAGAGGAGGGAGACTAGCCAAGCCCAGAAAATCACAGGCAGAAATGCAAGAAACTTACAAATGCAGTAAGGGAAGTTTAAACTTACCATGGCTCACGCGGATGTATATCAACACCTCTGATCAGGTCGGATCCCGGCCGTTTAAACTGTTCCACAGTGAAGAGAAAACATGTGTTAGAATCAACGTGCAGAGGTGCGCGCCTTCTCCACAGAAAAGATTCATGAAGGGACTTCAGGGTGGCAAAGTTCCACAAGTTTGAGACAGCAAAACTACTGAGCATGAGCTGGCCTGAAAGGTAACCACAGCTCACAATCAACAGCAGGAAAAAGGTAGAAAAACTTCTGAAAACCTCAGCCTTGTACACACAGCGACTGTTAGACCACCACTACATCCAAGCCCCTTTTCGCCGGCCCGGATTGCTGCCGCGCAACGGAAAAAAAGAAAACGAACCGGCATGGGCGCAATTTTTTCCCCCTAACGAACCGGCATGGCCGCAATTCCCCCCCCCCAAAAGAACCAGCATGGGCGCAGTTTTTCCCCACTTTGCCTGGCCGCACCAGCCATTTTGGTCTGGTAGGCCGAGCCCCTGTAAATGCAGTGGGTAGACCACTGCATCAGAACTTAGTAGCTGGGAATCGTGCTGGTGGTAATGCGAATTAATAATGCTAGGGGCTACGTAATGCGAATGGTAACTTACACCGTGACACCTCCTAATTGTTTTATTTTTTATTTTCAAACAAGACCAGGGTTGCACCCCAGCCGACTGCCGATGCTGACCGCCGACTGTATTGCAGACGACCGGTCGGCGGTCCGCCGACCAGTCAGAAAACAGTCATCCGCTGATTTCTTTCTTAATCTGAGTACGGGGCTAAACTGTGCTTGCCGAGTACAGCCCAAATCCGCTGAGAAATTTTGGTTTCTGTGTTTTTTTTTTAGGAGGGGGGTGCGATGGGGGTGGGGGAGGGGTTCTGGAGGGGAATGGGGGTCTGTGTGCAGGGCGGGGGGAGGTCCTGGGGGTGCCTGTTTCATGCTTATGAGGGGCTGTTCGAGGGCTCAGAGGGCGTTGAAGCAGGTAAACGTTTCACTGCATATTTCGACACTTTGCATTGGTGTTTGGGGGCAGGGGTGTTCGGGGATTCTGTTGGCGTATGACCGTCGACATTGATATAGGCTCATACAGCCTTACACACGGTTCAATCCATAGCAGCAGGGAATCAAAGACGGAAAAAAAAGACGAAAAAAAAAGAGGAAAAAAAGAAGAAGAAGAAGACACGAGTCCACACAATCGACGCTGCAATTGCAGACAAGCGACACTTGTTACACTTCATCATAGTCTGACTTTCCAGTACGTCCGTGAAGTCGGCTTAAACGGAGTCCCCCCTACACATGGAGGAAACTGACGAGGAGGAAGACGAAGTGCATGATGAAGAAGAGGAAGAGGAGGAAGCAGTAGAAGAAGAAGAAGAAGAAGAAGAAGAAGAAGAAGAAGAAGGTGTCTCGCCCTCTCTCACCAGCTCTGTCTCTGTCTCTCTCTCTCTCTCTCTCTCTCTCTCTCTCTCTCTCTCTCTCACACACACACACACACACACATTCGCTGCTGCTACTGCTGCCGGTCGATGACGACGCGTCAGTCAATGAATTTGCCGACCCTTCCTGTTCCTCTGCGGAAGATGAAGCGCTGCTTCTGCTAGACTCATCGTCCTCTTGCACTCGCTTCCTCTTCTTTTTCGGATGTCTTTTCAGAGACTGCGAGACTGCGGTGACTTTCTTGTGAACTTTTCGTGCCTTCCTCTTCTTCGCCTGCCGAACAACAGCATGCTTCTCTTTCAAGGTCGCTGGCGGTGTGACTGTCTTGGGTCCCTTGCCTCTTCCACCTCTTGTCGTCGATGCCGCTCTCCTTCGGTTTGTTCTTCCCTCCTTTCTTTCTGCCCGCCGAACTCCTCACTTGGCGCACCTTGCTGGCGTCGATTTTGGGCGGTGACACTGACGCACGTCGTGCAGCTACATGTTGTGGTGGGTCAGGTCCTCCAACCTCAGCAGCTCGGGTCCTCCTCCTGTAAACCATGCCCTGTAAACCTTCCCCGACCTCTGTTGGAATGTCCTTGCTCAACTGTAGACCCGGTGGGGTTGGTCCAGTGAATCTGGCCCAATCAGGAGTCTGCTCCTCAAAATCTATCCGCATGGGGGACATCGCAGACGGGTGTTCACGGAAGTCCTTGTTGGAGCCGCTCGCCACAATGGGAGCCACGTGATGCAGTAGGGAGGCAAACCCCTCCCCCAGCCCCAACCCCGGGTCAGGAGTGGAGACCACATCGCCGCCCGCAGCCTCGGTGTCCTCCGCTGTTCCACGAGCCAGGTCGTCCATGTCCGCACCGATGTCTCCGTCCGCATGTTCCGCAGTGCCCCGAACTTGAACATCCACAGACACACCGAAGTCTGCATCAACCTCCACCGCAGCATTGTCCCCGTGAACGTCCACTGACCGTTTGTTGTCCCGCAGCCCGTGGGTATTTCCTCAAGCACAGCTCACCGATGAGGGATGAGCTGTGCGCCCAAAAGTGTGCTGGTGCCCTGCACTGAAGCCACACCACCTGACGCGAAGCTCCATCGTCGTGTACGAGCACCAGCGTCGTCGGGCAACGACACCGAAGGAGCCACCGAAGGCCCGCCGGATGCAAGGACCGCCGGCGGCGTGATGTCGTAGTGTCTAGTGGAACATGAGCTGCCGCCCGAGCGCCTGGTGGACCGAATGTCTGTGAGCCGCACTTGAAGTACCTCATCGTCACCCTCGCTGTCGTGGCTCTTCTCCTCATCGTCATTATCAGCAACAATGCTCCTCCCGCGGTCGTCGTCGCGAGACGCCGAGGGCGGTAGGAAAGATCAAGAAGCCATGCCCCGTCGTTCACCCTCTCCTCCTGAAGCTCGCGAACGTCGAATCTGGTACCCTTCAATCTGCGGCCACGAGATTTTGACCAATTAGCGGCCCTCCTCTTCACCTCCGCAGGGTCGTACTACCCGTCTCGCATGAAACCATCGAAAGGCGCCTCGTCCTCTGGTGTCTCCCACTTGGGCCGATCAGTGTTCACAAATCCCATCTTCGCCCTTGACATGCGCAGCAGCTTCTTCTTGTTCCAATGGATGAAGACTAGCATCTGCAGGTTGTCCGGGCTCAACAAATTTCTCCTCTTCGTGTGAATGAGGTCGAACGTGGACTATTTCCTCTCACATGGAGAGGTTGTGGTCCACATGCTGAGCACTTTGACTGCGATCTTTGACAGGGTTGGGTGCTTCTTCCCATAAGTCAATCACCACTGCGCCATAGACACATGCTCGCCTGTCAAAGCCTCCTCAGAGTTCTTGCCATGCCACTCTGGATCCATGTAATGGAAACTCTTAAGGGAGTTCTAACATTCTTTGAACTCCTTTGAATTCTTCTGGTGAGTCGAAGTGTTTGCGGTCTCCTCGAACGCCAAGTCGTCAAACAATCGAGATGATCAGTGGAGCGGGTGCAACATCCACGTCGCTGCATGCACGGGGAGAGCCATCATCCGCACACGGTCTTTCACCTTCGCCATCACGAACTCCCTTGTCTCGCAATCCATGGGCAGCATGGCCATTCTCTTCTCCAACGTGATCCCCAAAGACCACACCTGCATACCCATCCTCCCGTCTCTGTCCATGGCCTTCATCAAGGGCATAAACAGGCTCGAGCAAGGTACATGCCCGCTGCACAGTCAATCACCAAGATCGGTCTCATATGAGCTCCTTGCACGATCGAGCCCGTATCGCTGCGGTCCGATCACATGGACAGTCATCCCACCGCGGGTTGGATCCAGTCCATAGCAACACCCACTCGCACTCCCGAAGTCGCTGCAGCATGAGGAAGTTTGTGCCGAAGCTAGTCTCCCCTAGTTGGATCAACTCCAACGGCCTCTCATCTTTGATACCCAACAGTATCCTGTACTCCCTCCCAGTCTGCCGAAACATCGCCAATGGCCGCTAATGTCTCTTGATGAAAGTTGTGATCTCCCTGCCCTGCAGAATCACCTTCCCAATCCATGGCACTGAAGCGATGTCACACATGAGCAATTTACACACATGGCATGCGCAGGGCACCCATGGATTGCTGCGGATCGCAGAGTCCTCGTGCTCAGCCCATTTCTTCCTGGCGGAAATGTTGACCTGTGTTGAGTCGGTGCAGATGGCGTTTACCCTATGCACGCCCAACTCCCTTATGGCCTCCTCCCACATCCTTGCCCAAGTTGGGTACGACTTATCCTTCCCCTCCATATCTACGCTCCTCACCATAACAGCCCCCGAATCACCGGCTGCAAGGAAGTTGATGACCGGCCTGTTGCTGGTCATCGTTGTACCATTTGTCATCAAGATCAAGCCTGTGACGTCCCACGACTCACGGATCTTGTCCAAATCGTGATCCACGACTTTGTACTCCGTGGGCCTTCGTCCTCAAGTGCTTGTATCCTGGCAATCGCAACATCTTCCTTGAGCCGCCAAGTTCATGATCCTTTCCATGTTTTTATACGAGTCAGATCTCGAAGCATTGAAGGCGATGGCATTCTCAAAGAAGACAAAGGCGACCGCCTGGTCGAACTCTTTCTACAACTCATCCACTACGAAATTGTTCATGGACGACTGTTGTCCACCGGATGGAGGTCGCGGAGGTCGAACGACAACTAGAATGGGACCCCGCAAGTGCTCAGCAATCTTCGATTGGAGTTCACGCCCCCTGGAAGCCAGAGCGGCCATGTCATCGAAAGATGTCAAGTCAAACCAACATCACTACCTTCTCCCGCCGTTGAACCTGTGTCGTGCCTGCCATCTCCCCCTGCCGATGATGTGCCGGGCTCCGCCGATGCACCTACTTAATCACCCCAAGCAAGATCTTGTGGATCCTCCACGACCGGCGGACGGCCCTGTTCCTCGTAGTAGTCCGTTCAATTTTCCAATTATTTTGAAGGGGATTGGCAACTTCAGGTGGTTCCTCCTGATCAAAACAAGAATCTCCCCGATGGTACACGGACAGCGAGCAGTGGGCGACGGTTGGGTGTGGTGGTTCACCACTTTGCTAAGCGTGTCGATCAACCTCCACGAGTCGTGCGACGTGACACTCGTCACCCTCTGCCCTTGATCTGCCCATCTCCAAAGCTCTGACAGGCTGAGCGTCCTTTCTCTCTCTGCACCGGTCTCAAGCTCAAACGGTCCTCGATTCCTCGCCATGGTCGTCGCAGTGGAGGTAGGTGGTTGGTAGGAAGAAGACGAAGAAGAAGGCGTGGGAGGTGTGTGCCCGCTGCCCAACGATTTTAAAAGGGGTTGGAGGTGTGTGCCCACTGCCCGATGATTTTCCGAACAAAAAAAAAAAAAAAGTGGAGGTGGGTGATGGACGAAGAAGGAGGAGAAGAAGAAGAAGATGAAGGGGAAAAAGATGGAGAAGAAGAAGGAGAAGAAGAAGAAGAAGAATGAGAAAAGGAAGACGAAGAAGATGAAGAAGAAGAAGAAGCGGTGGGAGGTGTGTTCCCGTTGCCCGACGATTTTCCAAAATAAAAAAAAGAAAAAAAGTGGAGGTGGGTGATGGTAGGAAGAAGAAGAAGAAAAAGAAGAAGAAGAAGAAGAGGAAGTAAAAGATAGTGAAGAAGAAGAAGGCAAAGAAGAAGAAGAAGAAGAAGAAGAAGAAGAAGTGTGTGGCCACTGCCCGCCGATTTTCCAAATAAAAAAGAAAAAAAAAATGTGCAGGTGGGTGATGGTAGGAAGAAGAAGAAGAAGAAGAAGAAGAAGAAGAAGAAGAAGTAAAGGATGGTGAAGAAGAAGAAGAAGAAGAAGTGTGTGCCCACTACCCGACAATTTCCCAAACATTAAAAAGAAAAAAAGTGGAGGCGGGTGATGGTAGGAGGGAAAAGAACAAGAACAAGAACAAGAACAAGAAGAAGTAAAAGATGGTGAAGAAGACGAAGAAGAAGTGGAAGAAAATGGAGAGAAGATGAAGAGGAAGAAAAAGAAGTAGAAGAACTTGAAGAAGAAGAAGAAGAAGAAGAACTTGAAGAAGAACTTGAAGAAGAAGAACTAGACGAAGAAGAAGAAGAAGAAGAAGAAGAAGAAGAGGAAGTAAAAGATGAAGAGAAGATGGAGAAGAAGAAGAAGAAGGGTGGGAGGTGTGTCCCCACTGCCCGATGATTTTCTGAAAAAAAAAAAAAAAAGTGGAGGTGGGTGATGGGAGGAGGAGGAGTAGGAGGAGGAGGAGGAAGAAGAAGAAGAGGAAGAAGATGAAAGAAGATGAACAAGAGAAGACAAATTAGGGCAAACTTCACAAACTCAGAAGTATGAGAGAGAAGAAGAACAACAACAACAACAACAAGAACAAGAAACAGAAAATTAGGGCAAAGTTGGCAACCGTTTTTTTTCAGAAGAAGAAGAAGAATTCACAGGGTATAAAAGAGGACAAAGCAAATGATAAATCAATTACTTATGCCAGACACCGCCAATGCACCCATCCCCTCAACGCGTTTCGACTTGGGCGTACTCCAAGTCTCTTCAGGAGGTAATAGAGGCCGAACCCCTCTCCTTATATCCTTATCAACCCTCCTCTCTTTCCCCTTTCCCTCCACCTTCTCTCCACATACTCCATTCTGCAAGGCCACTGCCTCTATGAGCCCCTTTCGGCCCCTCTCTTACAGCCCGTCGGGCGCCCTAAGTGAAGGCAGGCCCGACGAGGCCCTCAGGGCCCTATTTCGGCCACTGCGCAACTAAGGAAATTCAGGCAGTTGCGCAGCGCCAGTTGGTTGAGAGAACCCAGGCCCCCTGGGCTGGATACGGGTACTGGGCCAAACACAGGCCAAGGCAGTTGGGTACATGCAACCACCTCAGGCCCGAGGCCTGTTTTCGTTCGTGTTGGGCCTCAGGCTACCGGGGCCTACTGGAAGCTTCTGGGACTGGACGCAGGCAGGCCACTTCGATATAGCGAAATGCCTGCCTCCAGTTTCGGCATTCGGGTGCTGGCTGCATGCTGCGCAAGCACTGCTGCTGCTGGCGCCTACGCGCTCACGGGCGAGCAGGGAAGGAGCAGGCAGCCATAGCCGAGCTGCGTTGCTGTTACCTAGGTGTGGCACAGGGTGGTCCGTGGCATCTATGTGTTGGGGAACGAGGTTGTGAGTAAGGCGAGAGACATACCTGGTGCTGGAAGCATGCGACATTGGTCGCTGTATGCTCGTACTTCGGGAGAGCTGTTGTCGTCAACTTCGGCATTGAAGTATAGGCTAGATAGGATCTGCCACATGTAGTCTGGGCGCAGAGCGCCAGATAGGATATCAACTTTGGTTCTTCGTTGATGATGATGATGGGACTATTTCAGCATTGTCAATTATGAACTCTTGGTGTGTTCTTATTTGGTGAATCTCGTGATGCAATTCTGTTGTTGGTTCGAGGTCACGACTATCTGGACTCATATGTATGATGCTGTTTGATTGTTGAAGTTCCCTATTGCTCATCTTCCTTTCAATTTGGTATCAGTGTTGTGGTACGATTGCACTCATCTGGCACTTGTCTTCTGCCTGGTACGGTACATACATGCGGTTTGCTTGGCGAGTTTGGTCGTAAGTGGCGTGTAGTGAGGAGGGCGGAGACGAGTGGTTGGCGACCCAGGAGGTGAAGGGATCGCCGGGAAGGCTACGTGGGGGGTAATGTGGTCTGGACAGTGTGATGAGAACTATCTAATGTGCGATTGATGCTAAGGTGGAACGGCGAGATAATGCATGTTGTGTCGATGCAGTGACTGGTCATCGCAATCGCAATCAGGTCATCTGGCGAGATTATCTTTGTGGTTGGCGGCAGCTATTTGAGATACGTTGCTCTTAACCTTATCTACCCTCTTCGGCACTTCTTACCGTGAGGTTGTGTTCCTTCTTGAGAGTCCTCTCATTGTGAGGTGTAGAGTGTGCTCAACCTTGAGAGTCGGCATTGTTCACATGGAGCATCTGGGAGAAGATGGGCGGAGCTTTCTGAAGGGCCCTAGACGAAGCACTGGGTCACGATCACCATGCCAACCCACCGGGAGTAGAGCACGCATGCTTTGCTGCTTGTCCTTTGTTCGGCTTGCTACGCTGTTAGATGGGTACTGAAGGGCAGGCCAACCCTTAAGGGAGACGAGACCGGGCGTCTTTAAATAAGCACCGGAAGGGGAACCATTGGTTGTGATCGTCGTCCGGCTGCGACGTAAAATAATTCCTAGAGTCACTTGGGGGCGGACGTTAAATTGCCTCTGGATCAGCCAATGGTTGTCAGGCTCGCTGCACGCGAGGATAATCCAATGCAGGGCTGGCCAGCTCAGCAGATACTCGGGGCACAAGGGTGGGCCGAACACACACCTTTTAGACACGCGACGCTCTCCAAATTGCTCAGGGATGCTGACATCAAGTGATACTCAGGGGAACTAAGGGAGGGGTAGATTTTAGGTGATAGGTTCGAGAAAATTCCATGCTGTCCTATCCACACAAATGATTCTATTTTTATGTTTTGATTAGTTAGGTGTACAACCATTGACATCTGACAGACAACATTAGTTAGAATTGTTTCTTGTTCATGGTGCTTATGTTTGCGGACTAGTCAAACTAAAAATATTGTAGGAATCTGACTTACCCGTTGGGCCCCAATGTAAAGTCTCTGAAATAGCCACCAGTTGTTTGTGCACTGCGCTGCGGTGGCATTTAAAGTGCACTAGTGCAGATTGTGTTACAGGGCTGTAGCTTATGAGCGACGAGGAGGACACTGGAGAGGACGACCGGAGGATCTTGCGATCAGCTAGACGCCCAATTGCCCACTTGGCATTAGGACCAGAGGGCGACAAATGTTTGTTCCGCCAACTGAGGGAGAGGTAGCAGCGGCAGAGGAGGGCTAGAGCAGCAGAGGCTAGCAGGGCACTTGTGAGTGAGGCCGCAGCTTCGAAAGCCATGGCCACTTTTGTGCAGCAAACTAGGCCGGTAGTTCAGGGTCTGTCGGGTCAACGGTCGTGCAGACCCAGAGTCAGTCCGCTAGCGTAATGGCAAGCCAACCACTAGTGTTGACGTCCGATGAGATCGCCATACAACAAGCAGCATTGCAGGAGGCACACCTACAGAAGGCGTTAGGAGATATAAAAGCGGAGAAAGAAAGAATGATTAGAAGAAGAGCCAGGATGCAGCGTATACAAGCGGACGTTAGTGAGTTAGAGGAGATGGACCTGACGCACGTGACTGATGAGGTGAGGATCATACGGTCCGTCCTGCTAAATGTAGTTGAGATGCAGGACCATCAGACAACCATCCTTCAGGATATCTAGCAAAGTCTGGCCCTGTTGGTTGGGCAAGCACAGTCTATGTCGCCAATGTCTGGGCCTGGTGCCTGGCCCGTTG